AGAAAAATGAAAAAGCCATGGGAGGCTGAGGCAGGAGGATTGTTGGGAGTTCGAGACCAGCCTGGGCTACAAAGTGAGCTCAAGGCCAGCCTGAACTGCGTGGCGAGACCCTGTCAAAAAGACAAAAAAAAAAAAGCAGCTTCCCGGTATCCCCACAGTCTCCTGAGTCCCCGCCCTCCGGTGTGCGCCTGCTTCAGCTGTTGCTCAGTGCTTTGAAGACTATTCTTTATTTTTGGTTTTCTGAGACAAAGTCTCACTGTGTAGACCAGAGTGACCTTCAGGTTGCAGTCTTCCTGCCTCAGCCATTTTTATTTTAAAAACAAAGCCAGGTGTAGTGGCACATGCCTATAGTCCTAGCACTTAGGAGGCTGAAGCAGGAGGATCACTTCAAGTTCAAAGCCATCTTGAACTTACAATGAGACCCTGTCTCAAAAAACCAGAATCTAAAACAAAAACTAAATGCTGACTCAGCTCCAGTGCAGTGGTGCACAGAGGCTGAGGCAGGGGGATCACTTGAGCGCAGGAGTTCGGGCCAGGCCGAGCGGTAGAGCAGGACTGTAGCGCAGACAGTGAATGAAGTCTGTAAGTGGCAAGTGTGCAGCTGCCTTGGTGGGACAGGCACCCAGCGGTGACCGCTCGGCCAGGCGCGGAATCGGCTCTTCCTTCGCTAGCTTTTGAGTCTTCAGACTTCTCAGGGCGTTGTCGCTCTCCCCGAGCTCAGCCAGCCGTGGGCCCCGGCACCTGAGCCTTGGAGCGGGGCGTCGCGGTGGGTGCTGGGGGCGCTGTGCTCGGGGTCTGCCGCTGTGTGCTGTGCGGCCCTGCCCCTCCCGGATGCTGCCTCACCCCGCCCGTCTCTCCCCAGGCTGAACAGGGCCAGCCAGACCTACTTCTTCCCCATCCACCTGACGGACCAGCTGCTGCCCAGCGCCGTGTTCTACGCCACCGTGGGGCCCCTCGTGGTTTACTTCGCCATGCACCGCCTCGTCATCAGACCGTACCTCCGGGCGCAGAAGGAGAGGTGAGTCAGACCGCACGCAGCCTCCCTGTCCCGCTGGGACCGCAGAGCGCGGGCAGGGGTCCGCAGCAGTGAGGGCGTACAGAGCGCGGGGCTCGGTGGCTGGGTGGTCACGGTGCTCCGTAACTGTCCGAAGGGACTGGAGTCCGCTTGTAAAGTTGAGGCTCTGGCCAGGAGCGGTGGCGCACATCTGTGATCGCAGCACTCGGGAGGCTGAGGCAGGAGGATCGAAAGTTCATCCCAGCCTGGGAAACTCAGTGAGATTCTCTCTCAAAATATAAAAGGTCTGGGGAGGTCAGTGCAAAGACTCTTTAAGTTCAGTTTCCAGTATGAGGGGGAAATACTGAAAGCCTAAACCATGACCACAAGAAACAACATTTTCAGCCTGGCTTGGTGGCACACGTCTGTAACCCCTGCTACTCAGGAGGCTCAGGCAGGGGGTTGGAAGTCCGAGGGTGCAGCCCAATGGTGGAGCACCTTGAGGTCCCAACCCCGCACCACCCGCACAAGGAACAGCGGAGGAGGCGAGGAAGGGGAGAGTGGAGAACGAGCTCTTTTCCCACCCCCGCGTTTCCCCCGGCACTGAGCAGTGCGTTCCCTTCCCGAGGGCCGCGCTCTCGCTGTCTCCAGGGTGTCCCCGAAAGCCTGTGTCTCAGTCCCTGGAGCTGATTCTCAAGGCCCTAGTGACAGCATAGCCCCCAACCAAGATGGGGGCCTGGGGCTTTCTGTTCTGCCGTCTCCTTCACGGGGCACGCAGCTCAGAGGACCGGGACAGTTAAAGCCCCTGCCGTCAGACTCCTGCAGCCTGGGGTCCCGGTGCCCCTGAGGCCCAAGGCCAGGGACAGAATGTGCTGGCTGGAGTCCTCAGTGGGACCGGTGGGTGCTGAGCCGGGTGCTGTGCCCTGCTAGAGGAAAGCAGTTGGCCTGCGTCGCACGGGCTGGTCACTGACCCAGACTAGCTGCTGGGGCTCCAGCACCCACACCGGGCAAGGTCTTCTCCCCGGAACGACAGTGGTCTCTGAGGGCCTGTGAGGTGGCAGGAAGCGGAGCTGTCCGGACAGATGAGACGCTGCCTGGGCCTGCTACTCCCAGGGCTCCCAGACGCAGAAGTCCCAGGACTTGAGCACCCAGGCAGCCGCCCTCGGGGCAGGTCCAGCATGGGGCCCTGCTGACCCGGTGCAGAGTGACATCATGCTCATTTGTGGCTTTGCTTTCTCAAAAGGGAATTGGAAAAGCAGAGGGAAAACACCGCCAGTGACATCCTGCAGAAGAAGCAGGAGGCAGAGGCCGCTGTGAGTGCCCTGGGCCGCCCCTATCCTGGGGTCCTTGTCTGCCATCCCCTCCTGCTCTGTCCCACACCTGCACGGTGCAGGGGCCTTAGCTCCTCCCTTCCCTGAAACCTCACTCACCATCTGGCCTGGGGACACAGTGCCCCACCGAGAGCCCCTCCTGGGGGCAGAGTCAGCCCTCCCAGGGTGGTGCTGCACGCCTGTAATCCCTGCACTCCGGGAGGCTGAGGCAGGAGGACTGTAAATTCAAGCCTAGCCTCAGCAACATCACAAGTCCCTGTCTCAGAATAAAAATAGAACTGGAGTCGGAGCTCAGTACAGAAGGGTTCGATCTGGGGTTCGATCGCTATCATCTTTTTAAAAAAAAGTGACAGGCACAAAGCTGGGGACGCAGCTTGGTGACCGCGCCGGCCTGGAATGCATGGCGCCTCTCCCCCAGGTAGCCAGGGCAGCTGGTGCGTCTGGACGGGTGGCCAGTCGTGGGATGCCTGCAGGCAGAGGGGGGCTGAGGTGGGCACTCAGCACCCAGGCAGTCGGGAGAGCCCGGGCAGTCCGTCTGCGTCGGCAGGGCTGTGCGGCACCCGGTCCCTCCCCACAAGGAGCTGGGTGTAGCTTCCCTGTGCCATCTCTGTTGCGGTGCCAGTGCCTCTCTGGCCGCTAATGTCCCCCACCGCGGCCACGGCAAAGCCCTGCCACTTCCGGGGGCCGGGCGCCAGGCCTGGCCGCAGCAGGCGCGGGGCCCCGACACCGCTCGTCTTGCCCTCTGCAGGTTCGTCTGATGCAGGAATCTGTCCGAAGAATCATCGAGGCCGAGGAGTCCAGAATGGGTGAGAAGGCGTCCCCTCCCTCGGGCAGGCGGGCCCGGGTCCCTCCTTGGAGCCGCCATCGAGGAGGCCGCCTCTGCTGCCTGCTCTGTCCTCAGGGCTCATCATCGTCAACGCCTGGTACGGCAAGTTCGTCAACGACAAGAGCAAGAAGCGGGAGAAGGTGAAGGTGATCGACGTGACCGTGCCCCTGCAGTGCCTGGTGAAGGACTCGAAGCTCATCCTCACCGAGGCCTCCAAGGTACGGCCGTGGCGTGGCCCTGGTGTCCTCTGTGTGGCCAGCAGGTGCTCACCCGGCCCTTGCCACACATCCCTGTGCGCACGCAGCTCCCCGCAAGGGGAGGTGGTGGGGACTTCAGAATGACAGGCTGCTGTGGAGACCCAGTGGGGAAGGGGTGTGGCCGGAGACCCCTGTGGCACCCCGCAGCAGCACCTCCGCAGGGCAGGTTGCAGGTGACGTGCGTGTGTTGCAGGCGGGGCTGCCCGGCTTCTACGACCCGTGCGTGGGCGAGGAGAAGAGCCTGCGGGTGCTGTACCAGTTCCGGGGCGTGCTGCACCAGGTCATGGTGCCTGACAGCGAGGCCCTGCGGATACCAAAGCAGTGTGAGTGTCCACCCACACGCAGCCCTGGCAGGGGTGTGGGCAGCTAGCGGCCTGGGGGACACTGAGCCCTGCCTGCCCCAGTGCTGTGACAGGGCTCTTGGCTGGCAGCAGCGCGGTGGCCACGCGGGGAGCAGCCTGGGCCCTGGCTCCCTGGCAGCCACCCGCGGCCGGCACACTGGTGAGCCCCCGCTAGCCTGCACTGCCGTTTCCGTTACAGCTCACAGGATCGACGCGGACGGATAAGCTGCCGGAGAACCTGGTTTCAAAGAGGCTACGAGAGACCTTTTCCTGGGAGTCTACAAATTTGGAAGCAGGAACCTGGAGATCAGATGTTCTGTTTTATTTTGTTCCTCTAGAAGGTGGTCCCCTATGAATTATGTGCAGGGACACGCGGACGCCATAGCACGGCACTGCGGGGAGGACTGGGACAGCGCCACACAGGGCCAGGCGCGGACCCCCCGGATCGCGACCCTGGTGGGCAGGTCCCCAGGCCGTGCCCGGCAGGCTGCCCGCCCAGAGCTGTTCGGAGTGCCCCGTCCTGCGAGTCCACACAGTGCGGGGAGCACGGCAAGGACGGGTCTCGGCCCAGGCCCCGAGTGGGGCATCTGCCGAGCAGATCCCCACACCCCGTCCTCTGCTGAAATTCGCCTCGGGGCCGGCGAGGACGGCCGTCTATAAAACTGCTTTTTATCCGAGAACACACGGCTGGAGACGGTCTCTTTCTTCCCCGATGCAGAGCCTCCTGAATCATTCCTCGGCCCTGGGCTTGGACCGGAGCTGTTCGCCCAGGCCCTGGGCTGGCTGCCACCACGGCCAGCAGCCCTGGCCACACGGCGCGGCCTCCCCGCCCCTCGGCTCAGCGCTGCAATGCAGGGCGCCCCCCAGGAAAGGGCAAAGCCAACAGGACCAGGGCATTTGTGTGCCAAGCCCAGGTGTGGACCCCGGGCCTGCTGGGCTTTGTGCCTCCAGGCAGCGCCCAGCAGGTGGCACTGGGTAGTGGGCAGCTAGACCCGGGCCTGGCCCCGGCATGCGCTGTGTGCGTCCCGTGCCTGAGCCACTGCAAACAGCCCCCTTCCTCCGGTTTTTATTTATTTATTTTTGTTGTTGTTTTGTTTTTCTCCGGTACCGGGAACCGAACTCACGACCTTGCGCTTGCCAGGCAGGCACTTTGCCGCTGAGCTAAATCCCCAGCCCCCCTTCCTCCGGTTTTTAAAAGCAGCGCAGACGAACCAGTTCTGTCTTACTTATCTCCGTTTTTAAATTAAAAAGAGG